AAGATACATGCGCTGAAATTAACTCTAACAATAACAATAATAATAAAGGGCACATATCTCAATTTCATCTTTTTTTAATTTTCTTTCGACACGAAAGGATGGAATTGCAATTCCTTCAAACTAAACAATGAATTTGTGCATGTTAAATAATCAAATTTTTAGTTAAATTACAACTACATCCTAGCAAACAGGTTGTTAATGGAGATCCATTGTTCGTTAGAAGGCATTTGGTTGGGAGTAATTTTAATTCAACTCCAATGAAATCCTTTAGCATTTGAAACTAAATTATTTGGTTGGGTGGAATTGTAGTTTTCTCCTTTTATAGAATTGCAATTCATAACCTCCCTACAATAAATTCCAATTTAGAAGCAGATGAAAAAGGAAAATTGAGAAGGATGACAAAATTGCCTTTTATTATTATACTAGTATTTTGTACGCGCGATGCGCGAAAATTCATGCCCAATATTAAACATTGATAAATATAAATAATTAAAAATTATAATTTGAATTATATATACACAAATAATATATGTATTTTGTACACACACATATATAATTTATCATTCATAGAAATTTAATTAAAATTTAATTAAGTATTAAATTAATATATAATAATTTTAATAAAATAATAATTTAAAAAAAAAAAAAGGAAAAAGATATGATAGCTATAGCCATATAGGTGTATGGTAATAATGATGTGTTATCAATGTTAGAATTAAAAACGATGTAAGGGTAGTTTTGTCTAATAACATTGGAATGTACAACATTTAAAGTAAAATGTACACCTTTATTTGCATATAAAAAGATGGACATAAATCAAAGATATAACCTTAATTGAGGCTTATTTTGTTTTTAGATATATATAGATATAGATTTTGGTTCGAATGAGAACATGGCTTCTCATGCGGTCGGTGCAGTTTACACCATTAGGTATGCATAAATACATCACACAGTGTTAAAAAAATGTACCAAAATGAAATGCCACAAATTGCACCACACAAAAAAAAAAAAAAAAAAAAAATGCACCACACATAATGGTGTATTTTCGAACACTGTGTGGTGTATTTATGCATACCTAATGGTGTAAACCGCACTGACCATACGGAAAGTTCTGTTCTCACAGAAACCTAACCATATATATGTATATACTAGTTTTTTACGCGCATTGCGCGATTGGGATAATGCCCAATGTTTTTTTTTAAATAAGTACTTTAAAGTATATTAAGGCAGGATTATATTGAAATTGTTCATGCATAGATAATTGAAGGTTGAATTTGCGTATTTAAATAGGTAATTCTTCTCCCAAAGGTTGAGTCCCCAACCCCAAGGGCCCCCCCACACTCCGACCCGACAGAGCATTGTGAGAAGTTGTAAATCACAGTGACTCAATGGTTCAGCAGACAGGGCCAAATGCTGATACGCACAAGGAATCTGCCCACTTTGGACATAATTCCCGCACTGCCGCCGCTGAGGTTCAAACCTTGGTCTCTTCTCCCAAATACTACCCACTAAACCCTTGAACTAAGCCCGTGCGGGTTAAATAGGTAATTCTAAGTTTACAAATGCAAGATAATATAGTCAAGATTGATTATAATTGTCAATAAAATAATTGTATAAGTATGGTTGAAACCAAATACGGGACATAAGGGAGAACAAATAAACATTAGGGCATAAAATATTAAATATATACTAATATTGTTTGAGGAGATTCCGACATTAGGATTTGTGGTTAAGTTCTATTAAGACTTTAATATTAGAATTAGACTAACGGTGAATTAACGAAAAAAATTAAATGGATAATCATATAATTAAGGATAAATTATAAAATCTTAAAAGAAAAAAATTAAAACTTGAACAATATGAACCATTCATTTGATTTAATAACTTGGGGCGGTCATTTTTCTACCCAATGTTAATAATTAAATAAATTCGCTGGTCAAATCCGCTAGTATAATCCGCTAACGCTAACCGTTAACTGCTGATTGTCAAACAAGGACATTGCGAGGTAGTTCTCACTTCAATTTGTTGTGTGATTTGAATACTCTCTTTGTCACAAATCAATGAGTAAGTTAACGGTGAACTAACGGCAATTCTTAAAATTTTAACGGAATTAGTAACGGTGTGTGGGTATTTTAGGAAATTTTAGTGTAAAATGTAAATCTGATCAATCTTTTAATCAATCTGAGCCATTCATTTGATTAAGATCTGTGACCGCCATTTTTTCTACCCATTATAGGCCTAACTCTCTTGAACTCTTATTAGTATAGTAGATATACAATAGAATAATAGAATTTGAATTCAATAATTTTATTCATCCCTATCAAATAATAAAATTTGAATTCATACTTTATTCTCATTTTATTCTTTTCGCACGAAATTACAATTTTTTCTTCTCTAATTCCCTCCTAACCAAACTTCCTATTAGTTAGGGATGGCAACGGGGCGGGACGGGGGCGGGGAGTATACTCCCCGCGTCCCCGTCCTCATCCCAGTCTCCGTCCCCGTCCCCGCGGGGAATTGAAAATACTCTCCATCCCCGTTCTCGTGGGAAATTAAGCGAGGACGGGGATTCCCCATTCCCTGTAAACTCCTAGTCAAAATGTTAAATAATTATAATTTTTAATAATAAAAAATTTAAAATCTAATTCCTATTTTCAAATTTTAAAATGCTAAGTCTATATATATATATATATATATATATATATATATATATATATATATATATATATATATATATATATACTAGTTTTTTACGCGCATTGCGCGATTGGGATAATGCCCAATGTTTTTTTTTTTAAATAAGTACTTTAAAGTATATTAAGGCAAGATTATATTGAAATTGTTCATGCATAGATAATTGAAGGTTGAATTTGCGTATTTAAATAGGTAATTCTTCTCCCAAAGGTTTAGTCCCCAACCCCAAGGGCCCCCCACACTCTGACCTGACAGAGCATTGTGGGAAGTTGTAAATCACAGTGACTCAATGGTTCAGCAGACAGTACCAAATGCCGGTGCGAACAAGAAATCTGCCCACTTTGGACATAATTTCTGCACTGCCGCCGCCGAGGTTCAAACCTTGGTCTCTTCTCCCAAATACTGCTCACTAAACCATTGAGCTAAGCCCGTGCGAGTTAAATAGGTAATTCTAAGTTTACAAATGCAAGATAATGTAGTCAAGATTGATTATAATTGTCAATAAAATAATTGTATAGGTATGATTGAAACCAAATATGGGACATAAGGGAGAACAAATAAAAATTTGGGCATAAAATATTAATATATACTAATATTGTTTGAGGAGATTTCGGCATTAGGATTTGTGGTTAAGACTTTAATATTAGAATTAGATTAATGGTGTAATTATAATTCTATATTAGACGTTAATATTAGAATTAGACTAACGGTGAATTAACGGTATTTAACGGAAAAGTTAAATGGATAATCATATAATTAAGGATAAATTAGAAAAACTTTAAAAAAAAATTAAAACCTGAACAATTTGAACCATTCATTTGATTTAATAATTTGGCGGTCATTTTTTCTACCCAATGTTAATAATTAAATAAATTCGTTGGTCAAATCCGCTAATATAATCCGCTAACTGCTGATTGTCAAACAAGGACATTGCAAGGTAGTTCTCACTTCAATTTGTTGTGTGATTTGAATACTCTCTTTGTCACAAAATCTCTCAAGTAGTTAATATGGTTGGCTTTATTAATTATATATATATTTTTTAATTTTTTCATGGTATTAATAAAATACTTGGTAAATAAATATATAGCATTATTTTGTATTATAACTTTGATATTTAATTAGAAAAATAGTGCACAAAAAAGATATTAGACAATGTAGTGAATATAATCAATTGATGAATTTGAATGTACAAATTTTTACATTTGAGAAAAATAAAGACAATATAACTAATGAAAATATTTCCCTTAATTAATTTATTGATAATGAATAATTTTTTTTCACTGAATTAAGACATTGTAAGGACAATGTAGCGAATATAATCAATTAATAAATTTGAATATAAAGAATTTTTATATTGTAGAAAAATAAAGACAATATAACTAATACAATTATTTCTCTTATTTAATTTATTGATAATGAATAATTTTTTTTTTGAATAAAGGCATTGTGGACACATAATTCTAAATTAAAGAAATGCATATCTATAATTTTTTGTTGTAGCTACTAAATTATTATTTATATAATTTAATAAGAGTAAAATAGAGTACTAATTATGCCAACTTTGATCAGGATGAGGTTCGAACCTAAGACCTTTTTTTGTTATTATTGAAATCAATGAGTAAGTTAACGGTGAACTAACGGCAATTCTTAAAATTTTAACGGAATTAGTAACGATGTGTGCGTATTTTAGGAAATTTTAGTGTAAAATTTAAATCTTATCAATCTTTTAATCAATTTGAGCCATTCATTTGATTAAAATCTGTGACCGTCAATTTTTCTACCCATTATAGGCCTAACTCTCTTGGGCTCTTTTATATATATATATATATATATATATATATATATATATATATATATATATATATATATATATATATTTTGAAGATGGGACGAGGCGGGGAGGAGTATCCCCATCCTCTCCCCGACGAAGAATCACACATATTTCTCGTCCTTATTCTTCAAAAGCTTTTCTTATCTCTGTCTTCATCGGAACGGGAATCGGAATCCCCGTCGGAACATGACACATTGCCATCCTTACTATTAGTGTTAAATGACACTGTAATAAGTTAGATGTTGAGCGGAGTAATTTCTATATTAGTAACATTATTATGTTATCAGATGATATTGTAAAAAATTTCAATTTTCGCATTCAAAAATTTCAAAGAGCACATAAATGACACAATAATAATAATGTGTCCTGTCCAACTGTTACTTGTTAGTCACACCCTCAAAGCCACGTGTACACCCTTGGCGGTGCTGACGTGTACATGTAACCGAAGCCTCCCTATATAAACTCTCTTCGTTCTCATCCGTTTCCCCTCTTCACAGTTTCCTCCTTCAATCAAATCTAAAGCCCGAACCAGACATCTTCTCCTATACTTACACATTTACATACACATATATCTCTTTATATTATACAAATCGGTTCTTCCTGAGCATTTCTTCGTTGATCTAGGGTTGAAACAACGCACGGCTGTGTGTAAATCTGAAGGAAAGATCGGGTTCTTCGATTCTGTTTCTGTTCCCTCTTGGCTCGAGATCCGAGCCAAGAACGGAGGATTTTGTCGCTATTTGAAGCTTCTCCGGTGGCCGTATAGCGTTCCAAATCGGTAACGCTCTTCACTGTTTCGTGCCCTATACTCGGCGCAGAGAGGTAAAATATATATATATCTATTCGCGAATTTATTGAAAGAGTTACTTAAATATGTGTGGATGAGTTTTGAGCATTTCATTCGTGTAGCGCTGCCATTTTTTGATTGGATTGGTGTTGATGTTGATATGTTACCCTGTTCCCTGTGTGTAGGGTTTGTCAGTGAGTGAGTGAGTGGAAATGGCGTCAGGTGAGGGATTTCTGACGGATGAACAGAGGGAGATTTTGAAAATCGCGACTCAGAATGTGGAGGTTCTTTCCTCTTCGCCCAAGTCTCCTACACTTAGGTCTCCGCGCCCCAAGTCTCCATCTGCGCTGCTGTCGGAACACCACGTGAAAGCTCCTCTTGGCGGCAAGGCGTCCACTGCTGGGATTGCGATGAGACATGTGAGGCGCACACACTCTGGCAAGCATATAAAAATTAAGAAGGGTAAAAATCTTATGCATTCATTTTATTTATTGGAGTTCTGGCATTCTTCGTAGCAGATACTGTATGTCTGAGCTGAAAATTATGTGTTCGTTTCTTGATGAGATTTGTTATGTTTTTTTATTTTTTTTTTATTTTTTTTTATACATTGTATCCTTTTATTCCTGTTGACTCAAGTTTGTTTAGATAAACATTATCTTAATTTCACCAAAAAGTTATTTTTCTATAGTATGTTAGTATTTATCCCTTTTATTTATTTACTTATTTTCACAGTCATTGGTTATCTGTTCAATTCTATATCCATTTTATTTATTTCCTTATTTTCACATCTTTCCAATTCTATGTGTTATCACATTTCTATACTCTCTTTCTTTATTGATGTGCCATTATATAGTTGGAGGGGATAGAGTGATGGGACATCCAGGAAATCAAATAGATAATGATTTTGCATTTAATTCTTTGGCAAAATCTCCAATGAGACCGTCTACCTAAGACAGGTCGGTCAGGTTTTTCATAAGTATTACACTTTTCCCCTTATTAGTATTGCATTTTTTTCTCATAATTAACTCTTCAATCTCTAAATATTACATTCTTATTTAAAAGTATTATATTTTTCATCAAAATTATCACATGTCTAAACCTACTCATCTTGACGGTCTCATATGAGACTCATCCTGATTCTTTTCTAATATGGAGTCTAAGATTAAACCAAATGTATGAAGATTTTGCTAAGAAGGCATTTCCATAATTTCAGTAGTTATTCCTCAGAAAAACCTAAGTCAATACAGACTCCATAGTCTCATTATGTGGTCAAATTTGTGGGAATATGGTTTTGAACGGATATTTCTCTATCATGGTGATTTGTATTACAGTGAACATTACATTTAAACATTGATTTTTTATTTAGTATTTACTGTTGCTTAAAATCTTCTTAATATCTGTGTAATGAATGCTGGATAGTTGCATAGGTTCAAATGCAAATCTTGTGAAACATATAAATTTGGGGATATGCAATTACTCTTATTAGTATTCATTTATATTGATCATTATGAATGTGTATTAGAATCATCATACTCATTGATTGATGGGTCATGGCTCCAATCCCTTGTATGCTTTTTTCAAAAAATGATGCAAGGTGCTGTACTGCTGTGTGATCTACTTGAGCAACACACGAATATGTGTGTTGCTTGAGTAGATTTTTCCTGCCAAGATTATTGACCTCAAGTTGCTAGTTTACTTTTATTGTGATAAACTGCTACAGTACTTTCTTACAAGAATTTACTTTTATGTCACCGCACAACATGATAATTGAGCTAGAGTGCCTTGTTTTCTTTCCTTTTTTTGTTTTTTTTTTTAAATGTTTTTTTTGGGTATTTCTCACAACTAAATGGTTTTCTATTTATTATTGACAATAGATGGAGCTGGTGGTAAAGGCACCTGGGGAAAGCTACTTGACACTGATGGGGGGTCTCACATTGATAGAAATGATCCCAACTATGATAGTGGAGAGGTAAGTTCCGAGTCTGAGTTGAAAGTGTCACTGTTGGTGGAGACTTTGTTTTTCTTCCTTTCTAACCCCCACCCCCACAGACAGAATTTCGTTAATATCCAGTGGATAAGTAAAATGCCAACGTACCAAGCAGTACTGAATACTGTCATAATGTTTTAATTGTCTTAGATTATACCACCATTTAATGCTCCATTCAGTGAAGCAGTGTACTAAGAGAATATTTCCTGTGGTGTTGATATTATACTTTGATTTCAACTATTACAGGAACCATATGAACTTGTTGGATCTGCTGTTTGTGATCCATTGGATGAGTATAAGAAATCTGTGGTATCTCTTGTTGAGGAATACTTTAGCACTGGTGATGTGGATGTTGCAGTATCTGATTTGAGGGAACTTGGTTCAGTTGAATACCATCCCTATTTCATTAAGAGGCTTGTTTCCATGGCAATGGATAGGCATGATAAGGAAAAAGAGATGGCTTCTGTTTTGCTTTCAGCGCTTTATTCTGATGTCATTAGCTCTGCCCATATAAGTCAGGGATTTTTCATGCTTCTTGAGTCTGCTGATGACTTGGCAGTGGACATACTTGATGCAGTTGATATCCTTGCTTTATTCATAGCTAGAGCTGTGGTCGATGACATTCTGCCCCCAGTTTTTATTGCAAGGGCAAGGAAAATGCTTCCCGAATCCTCCAAGGGTTATCAGGTGTTGCAAACTGCTGAGAAGAGTTATCTCATGGCTCCCCATCATGCCGAACTTGTGGAGAGGCGCTGGGGTGGTAGTACTCATTTCACTGTTGAGGAGGTGAAGAAAAAGATTGCTGAACTGTTACGGGAATACGTTGAAAGTGGAGATACTGGTGAAGCTTGCAGATGCATTAGGCAGCTGGGACTTTCATTTTTCCATCATGAGGTTGTGAAAAGAGCACTGGTCTTAGCCATGGAGATCCGCACTGCAGAACTGGTTATTCTGAAACTTTTAAAGGAGGCTGCAGAAGAGGGTCTCATAAGTTCTAGCCAAATGCTGAAGGGCTTTGCACGTTTAGCTGAAAGTCTTGATGATCTTGCATTAGATATTCCCTCTGCTAAGACATTGTTCCAATCACTTGTTTATCAAGCAATCTCTGAAGGATGGCTTGATCCATCTTTTCTGAAATCCTCAAGCGAGGATGGCAAGGTACATGATGCAGAGTATGAAAAGCTGAGGCGATACAAGGAGCAATCTGTCACCATCATTCATGAATATTTCCTTTCTGATGATATCCCAGAACTTATTCGGAGTTTGGAGGATCTGGGAGCGCCAGAGTATAATCCAATTTTTGTGAAGAGGCTCGTCACACTTGCCATGGATAGAAAAAACAAAGAAAAAGAAATGGCATCTGTTTTGCTCTCTGCGCTTCATATTGAGCTCTTTTCAACTGAAGATATAGTGAATGGTTTTGTGATGCTATTGGAATCTGCAGAGGACACTGCACTCGACATTTTAGATGCTTCAAGTGAACTAGCTCTGTTCCTGGCTAGAGCTGTTGTTGATGATGTCCTAGCTCCACTTAATTTGGAAGAAATCGCGAGCAGGTTGCAGCCAAATAGCAGTGGAAGTGAGACCGTTCGTGCGGCGCAATCACTCCTCTTTGCCCGTCATGCGGGTGAGAGGATCTTAAGATGCTGGGGAGGCGGGACTGGTTGGGCTGTAGAGGATGCCAAGGATAAGATCATGAAGCTGCTGGAGGAATTTGAAAGTGGCGGTGTTGTGAATGAAGCTTGCCAATGCATTCGCGATCTCGACATGCCCTTCTTCAATCACGAGGTTGTGAAAAAGGCATTGGTTATGGCTATGGAGAAGAAGAACGATAGGATGCTGGATTTGCTGCAAGCATGCTTCGACGAGGGCCTGATTACGATGAACCAGATGAGCAAGGGGTTCGGGAGGATCAAGGATGGGCTCGACGATCTGGCTCTGGACATCCCAAATGCCAAGGATAAATTCAAATTTTATGCGGGGCATGCCAAAGGAAGAGGGTGGCTGTTGCCGGCCTTCACAGATGTATTATCATCTTCATCTTCTTCTTGAGAGGAAGAGGAGGAAGGAGGATACAAGAGTTTGTTAGTGTTGTTTACTTGCATTAATCTCCATCCATCCATGTCTGTTGTTGCCTAATGTGGATCTTGTTTTGTTTAGTAGTTTGTACTTTTTTTCTGCATCGGTATTGGTGGACACAGATGAATGCACTGCACTTTACTTGTCTTCTCATGTTTCCATTTCAGTGGTTTTTTTATCTGGTGGAGGAGACTCCACTCGATGTACAAAAGTATGGCTTCTTACTACTTTATTAGACATTTACTTGAACACACATCTTCACCTCCCTCCTACTATTTTGTTGTTCAATACCAAATAGTTAGAACACTCCCTGCACACACCCTTTTCAGGCAAATTATTTTGTGGTCTAAAATACACAATTTACATATTGAATGTTCACAATTTACATATTGAATTTTTACAATTTTACAAAAGGTAATTGTGAACATGAAGTATGTAAGTGTGAACATTCAATATGTAAATTGTGTATTCTAAACTCAGGTCCACCTTGCAAATCGTGTATTTTGAACCCTGGTCCACCTTGCAAGTTGGACCTGGATCCATGGTATAACTATTGCCCTTTTCATATCATTTTGCATTTTACTTCTTTCCCTTTTCATATCATTTTGCATTTTACTTCTTTCTTAGAATTGAATTGTACATTTTTATGGGTTTCGAGTAATAGTCGAGGCTATAATTTATGAATTGTACATTTTTTATGGACCATAGTTTCTTGTAAAAGCCGAGGCTAACCACATCAGTTGTTTTTTTAGCATTTTTATCAAAACAAAAATTTTGAGACTGACTTTTGTACTAATGAGATGGGTGATTTTTTTTTTTTGGTTTTTGGATTTTTATTCCTGCAAATATCATTTTTATTCTTGCTCATAAATTGATGTCTTGTGCATGCGCATAAATACTATTGTTTATTTATTTTTTTACTTTTTTCTCAAAAAGTCAACAAATGAAGTTGCTCTAAGTTTTTATTTATAAGAGAAGAAAATACCCACATATACAACCTATTATCGCCTCCATTGAAGCTTGAACCATGCACCTCCCACATAGGAAAGCAATCGGATAACAGTGGACCACAAAGTCCTTGATAGGTTGCTCTATGTTAATAGTGAATAGCACATTTATGTTTATATATTATCTAAGTTTAACACTTGGGTCTTTTCTTGCCTATATTTATCTGCTGCTGTCTGTATATATCCATCACAAGTTTATAAACCTGAAAGCACATTTCAAACTTTACAACTTTCCTTGTCTTATTATTTCATGCACTGGCTGAACAGCAAAACATTTGTAGATAATAAGGTGAAGTTGTACTTGTACACACAGATTAACTAACTAACATACTGCTTTTCCAAAAGGGTCCCGCAGAATGGCAAGTCGAATCGTTCCTCTGGAGGGTCTCCAATGCAGTCGAAAACTGCATCGGCATTCAAGAAATCTTCATCTGCCGTGTACCTGCACCACCACAATACCTTATTGAATAATCCTGGAGAAAATGAGTGTAAAGACGACGACTACACTACTTACCCGCTCTTTGTCACAATGCACTTCATTCCAGCAGCTTTGGCAGCTGCAAGACCGATGGCACTGTCTTCTACTACTACACACCTGCAGGGCACGAGAGGATGCAGGCAGAAGCTATTTAAACAATCGTTGAGGAAAATTACCATATCATTATCATCATTTCATTTATAGTGTTTATTAATTTAACAAGTAGTTCAATGAAAGAAAGCATCCATCACCTACAGTGCTCACAAGAATATTCAATGACGCAATTACTATGAAGTGCAAAAAGAAGGGAACGCAAAAAAAGATGGTAATGTGTTCCATGTTTTATACCTCGAAGGATCAACACCCAAAGTGTCCGCTGCTAGCAGATAGATGGCCTGCCACCAGAAAGAAGTAGGTTTACTTTTACTTTTTGTTATATATAATAATGGTCTTGCAGGTATCAACAATCATGCTTCAATGCAGATGATGAAGCATTTATCATTAATTCACTGAAACATCATCCTAAATGCAGAAAATGTGACTGAATTTGAGGGAAGACTCGCCCCCTCTGCAAGAGGGAGGGTGTGCGATGATTCCATAGTCGATATTATGTATCATACAGAAATCGTGTTCAAAAACTGAGATAGTTACCGGATCAGGCTTCTTACGAGGAACCACATCTCCTGCATATATCTGGATCTTTTCTGCTCGTTCGGGTCCTAACAAGCATGAAACTATGGCAGAGACCTGGAATTCATCTAATTAACTCCAAATATGTGACATCATAACTCTGGGTAATTTAGATAAAAGTTTCAACCTTTTTATTTATTTATTTATTTATTTAATTTTAATACCAAGCTTGTCCATAGTTTCTGGCAAGATTGAAATATCTCCATAAACCCGTCAAGGACCAAAGTAGAGCACGAAAGTTGCAATAGGGCATAATGCAGATAATCATTAAACAAGTATAGCCCGGGCTTATAATAGCTCACTGGTTCAGTAAATAATATTAAGACCTCGGGACCTGATTATTCATACCGCCTTCTCATTCGAAGTGCTGCATACAGCAACTTTAACTCCTTTTTCCAGAGCTTGATCAATCAGCCTGTAACGTTTAGTTCAGTAATGACTACAGAATGGAAGTAAAAGAGGGTTTGTTCGTCACAATAAAAAGAGGTTATGAATCAATATATCAAGTTATTAATGTCGATATAATAGATGATTTACATAGCAAATTCATAGTTTCGTGAGACAAATTGATGATACTCACTTTGCAACGCCAGGCCGAAGTGGTAACAACTTTTTCTCGATAAGGACCATGAATAAATCCGTCTTGCGTTTGTGAAGTGATTTGATAAACTCTTTTCTTTCATCGTCGCTCTTTGGTGCATTCTCTGGCCAACCCACTTTGTTAAAGTAAGCAGTCATCCTAAAGCAACGCATCAAACATGTGTAAATCGGGAGCATAAGCACAGTTAGATTGAAAGAAACAACCATTTCTCTTGTAACTAGAAGAAGGAGCTATATTTAAACCGAAAACTTTACCTTTCTTTACCGCCTCCAATTTTGAGCAATTCACCATACAAATCCACATCCCAAGTTACACCCAATTCCTTCTGTAAAGTGCAAAGGTAAAATTATTAGAACTCTGTATTTATCAGCTTTACAATTCTGCATTATTGTAGCTCTTTCTTTACTATCAATAATAAAACAGTTTGCAAACTCTTCAATCTATTCTCAAAGTAGACACACACACACACACACACAAGAAGTAGTCCTAGCTAGTAAAGGAAGAGTTACAATAATACACATAAAAGCAAAAAAGAGCCTTGCACAGGCAGCTCAGTTCTTTCATGGTGGTAGATTGTGGGCAAGGACACCCAATGTGATGGGCACCAGACACCCGTCTTCCCACCTAATGGGCTATTGAGTCAGCGTGATTTACTCCACCACTATTTTGTCTGCCCAGGGTGCAACCTTCTCAACCTAGGCTTTACATAATGTATTTGCAGATTGCAATAACCCACTTCCAAGAAAACATGAATTAAGCCAAAAGCATCCCATTTAGCATAGATTTAGGTAGTACTCACATATTGATTAGTAATATGAATGCAAAATAATGATCAAGTTGAAGATAAGAACACCCAACTCAAGACAATGAAAGAAAGGAAAAAACAGAAATCAATGGCAAGTGCAACAAAAAGAGAAATTGAAAAACCTCAGCAAAGGTATCATTGAAGGAAATACGGTGGCCATCTTTCTCGGTGTCAACAAGCACTCCATCACAGTCAAAGAGCAGTGCCTGTGGAACAGCTGATGCCTCGGCCGCTGCAAAGCATGCCACTTTGCTGCCATTCTTGAAAATTCTCTCGGTGCCCTTTACTCTTCTTCCTCTACTTGGAAGCCCCCAAATGGATGATTTCAACAAGATGGCCTTGTTTCCACCATTGGGTATGGCGACGGCGGAAGGAATCGCAGATATAGCGCTTCTCTGGGACAAGAAAATGGGTTGAGAAGAACAAGAGGAGGAGGAGGAGAGGACTCTTAGAGCCATTTGAGAAGGAATCAAGAAAAGGTTTCTCTCTCCCTCCCTTAGTCTTACTTTTGCATATATTGGTAGAGAGGGAGCAAGAAATAGGCTTTCATAGCTTCATTTGGTTGTTGGTAACGGTTTAATTTCCAACCATAAGTTATCCATCCATCTCAAGCCATTGGAGGAGGCTTAGAGCCCTCTTGTGTTAGGCTCTAGATTTCTTTATTTCAAATGTTGTGTGACCATATTTTGGTCTTATTTTGCCACATTGTAGGTTGAACAAAATAATTACTTCGACAAGGACAAGATACCAAATAAATTCTTATTTTTTTAAAATATAAATAATGTAATCAAGTTTTCTGGAAATTAGGAAAATGACTTCTGAAAAATAAGTTATTTTCCAGAAAATATTTTTGTTTCTAATTTTTGGTTGCATTTCAGAAAACTGTCTTGTGTTTAGTTCATTTTTCGGATATAACCTAAACTTTATCCGGTTAACTCCGAAGACAAAATCGACGACCGGTGATAGCCGAACTATCATCGATCGCCTTTTACTAGAGATGAAACACGACCAGTTGGTTGCCTTCACATCTCAAAGAAGGAAACCAGTGGTCGCCTTCCATCGGAGAAGGCGACCAATTGTTCGCCTTCTTCGATGGAAGGTGACCAGTTGGTCGCCGAGGAGATAGGTCTTTGAAGATGGTTGAGGAAGAATGTCTGGAAGGCGAAGAGAGACCAGGAAAATGACTTTTCCAAAAAAACAAGGTGAATTTCCACTTTGACAGGATTTGATTTTCCATGACTTTAATTTTTCAAGCATTGCCAAACACTGGATATTCAGAGAAATAACTTTCCGAGTTTTCAAACACACCCTAGATTTTTTAAAAATGTTGTATTAACCACCGGGGTAGTTAAACGGCAAGCCAACACCACCGGAAAATAGACAAAGTGAGTACTTTGTATTCTTTCGTGTATATGGAAAACTAACCCCTTTCCAATGCTCTGTATTCTTTCGTGTATATGGAAAATCTAACCCCTTTTCAGGGTTTACAAGGGTAAGCGCCGACGTCGGAGGGCCCTGCCATATCCTCTTTTCTTCGGGGGGTCGACAGTGCTCTATATTCTAGTCGACGCCAACG